ATGCATTTCCAGGAGCTAGATAATGTACTTCACTAGCTGCAGGATATGGTGTTTGGCCAGGGGCTGGATATGGTGCTTGACCAGAGGCTGGATAAGGTGCTTGACCAGAGGCTGGATATGGTGCTTTACCAGATGCTGGATATGGTGCTTTACCAGCTGCAGGATACGGTGCTTGACCAGAGGCTGGATATGGTGCTTGACCAGAGGCTGGATATGGTGCTAGACCAAGTGGTGGATATGGAGCTAGACCAGGGGCTGGATATGGTGCTTGACCAGGGGCTGGATATGTTGCTTGACCAGAGGCTGGATATGGTGCTTGACCAGAGGCTGGATATGTTGCTAGACCAAGTGGTGGATATGGAGCTAGACCAGGGGCTGGATATGGAGCTAGACCAGGGGCTGAATATGGTGCTTGACCAGGGGCTGGAGTGGGTGCTTGACCAGGGGCTGGAGTGGGTGCTTGACCATGGGTTGGAGAGGGTGCTTGACCAGGGGTTCGAGAGGGTGCTTTACCAGAGGCTGGAGATGGTGCTTGACCAGGGGCTGGATATGGTGCTTGACCAGGGGATGGAGAGGGTGCTTGACCAGGGGCTGGAGAGGGTGCTTGACCAGGGGCTGGAGAGGGTGCTTGACCAGGGGATGGAGAGGGTGCTTGACCAGAGGCTGGAGTGGGTGCTTGACCAGGGGTTCGAGAGGGTGCTTTACCAGAGGCTGGAGATGGTGCTTGACCAGGGGCTGGATATGGTGCTTGACCAGGGGATGGAGAGGGTGCTTGACCAGGGGCTGGAGAGGGTGCTTGACCAGGGGCTGGAGAGGGTGCTTGACCAGGGGCTGGAGAGGGTGATTGGGCAGGCGCTGGAGAGGGTGATTGGGCAGGGGCTGCAGAGGGTGATTGGGCAGGGGCTGCAGATGGTGATTGGGCAGGGGATGGAGAGGGTGCTTGATCAGGGGCTGGAGAGGGTGATTGGGCAGGGGCTGCAGATGGTGATTGGGCAGGGGATGGAGAGGGTGCTTGATCAGGGGCTGGAGAGGGTGCTTGACCAGCTGCAGGAAATGGAGCTTGACCACAAGATGGAGACTGATCATTTGGTTGGCCTATTATTACAAATATATACATGCTCATAAAATTCATTTGAAAAATTATTTAACAGTAATATATATATATATATATATATATATATATATATATATATATATATATATATATATATATATTAGAAAAGGATTATAAGGAGAAAATTAAATTAAAAAGTTGATAGTCTCTAAACACTTAAAGAAAAATAATTTATAAACTTTAAGAAAAAACAGTTTAAAAAATAAACTGAACCAATGGATAGATTGAAAGCAAACACTTAAGAGCTACCTGGATATGAAGCTGGGTGGATTACAATGTATATCATAAATACATTTAATGAATAAGGCTGAACGGAATACTAAATGCTAAAGCACTGTTATAAGAGTCATGCAAAATATTCTGATTATGTATGTGATATGATAAGCATTTTTAAAATATATTTGTAAATTTTATACCTAAATAAATATATAAAAAACATGCTTTTCATAGTATGAAATATTAAAGCAATACAAAAAATATTGAGCATAAATATCAAAACAAAATACTGCATGTGTAAGCAAAAAATTTGAATATAAAAAGTATAATAAATACTAGCACTGTGAAAACACAGTTGGTTGATAGATTAACTTTTTTTTTTAAAGTTTGAATACCATTTTAGGCTACTGTTTATTTTTTATGAACTTACTGAAACACTTCAAGAATACTCAATACACTTTAAATAGTGAATTTAAAAAAGTTCCATGGTAACAAACACTGTGTTTTCTCAGGCCTCTGGTATAATGGACAGGAATGAGAAAATAATTATAAAGTTGTGGTATAATCCTACCTCCTCCTGGGGCACTAGGCTGGGGGTAAGGTGGTGCCGCCTGGCCTTGTGGGTAATGGGGGTGACCGTACTGTGACATTGCAGACCTTGTTTGTGTCTGTTGAAATTTAAACATTTAAGAAATTTATGTCAGTGTTTATGTTTTAAAAAACAAACTTAAAAAAAAAAAATTATTATGTATTTTTAGCAGTGTATTGTTATATTTTTAAGTTGCAACAGTTTTTGGTTATTATTTGAGCCAGAATATTGTTACATGAGTTCCCATTTTTACTTTTAAAAGTTTAAGTAATTAAAAATCATGTCTATATATCAAGTTATATAAGAATATTCGAGAAAGTTTAGGGGAGATCACTCCCGGTTTATTTTAAAAACTATTATTTCAATACAGTGACCTCAATTTTTGCAAACTGGACTATGAAGATGTTTAAAACTTTCAATTTGTAACACACATAATAAACAAATGAGTCAGTATCATTAATAGACTATAAACAATAAAACCCTACTGATGAAAACTTTCATTTTAAATGTGATATATTTCATCAATTTTATAAAGAAAAAAGTCCCCAGAACTCAGACAGTCAATCTTAAATAAGTTAATAAAAAGTCTAGAGACAATTTAATTGCAATTTCCTTAATTAATTTTTTTGTGACCGAACGAAAGGATATTTTTGAAAACTTTCTTTGGCAATATTGTTCTAAATTATGGCAGGAATCGATTGGTAAATGTTTCAAGTCGCTAAGTGGTCTGGTTGCCGAGATATGGACCAAAAACTGCATTTGTTCGAGGTTTTTTGGCTTTTCCGGGAAATCCAGGAAGGAATTCCGGGAATATTTTTGGCCCACTATCATCCTCGGAACTTGCTTAACATATTTGCTTTGGAACTAGTCCTCGATATTGCTTCGTTGAGGAGGAGATACGACTTAAAGCTGCGGACACACATCCACACATCCATCCATCCATCCATCCATCCATCCATCCATCCATCCATCCATCCATCCATCCATCCATCCATCCATCCATCCATCCATCCATCCATCCATCCATCCATCCATCCATCCATCCATCCATCCATCCATCCATCCAGAAATGACGCATTATTAAACGCAATTGCCAGTATGGAAATTGCGCTAAAAAATATTCAGCTTGGGTTTGATAAGATTATAGCTGCTTAGCACTACCCTAACCCTGAATATAAGGGGTGGTCCATAACAAATGACATCGTTACACATATTTGACCGAATAAATTTTCAACACTTCTCGAATAAAAATAAAGAAATTAATTGATTGTTGACATTGATTTAATCACCTGTGTTAAGTTCCTGTTGCAGATATTTATGAACAGTAAATAGTCGATATATACAGTAGCTTACACAGGTATGTTTCCTTCACAAGTAAGATGAGCTGTGTACACCGACTATATCCTACCCCAGTGGCGTCACACTGTAAAAACAGACGGTGACAGACCTGTCGTAGACACAGGATTTAAACCACGTCAACATACTTTATGACGACACATGGGGGTTCAATGGCGTTTTATTTCTGCACACATTCACACTTCCACTTTACACAGTGTGTGTGTCTAACTTCAGCCAAGCTACACACTTTAATGTTTACTCATTAACTCTGCGGGCTGGTTTCATGAGATAATGAGAGGCTCGGCTAATTATGTTAATTGTCTGATCTGCCAAAGGAAAGATCGAGGTGATTAGACTTTTTTTTATCTTAAGAATTAAAAGAAAAAGTTAGTTTCAACAAATCTTAACATTAATTTCGTGTATAGTTTGGTGAGATGACGGGTTATAACTGCTTATATAACCCCGGCCATTAAGTACAGTAGGGCTACAACCACATGGTAAGTAATGAGAAAAGGACTAAAACCACAGGGTAGAATCACAACAACAGAGTAGGACCACAACAACAGAGTAGGACCACAACAACATAGTAGGACCACAACTACAGGGTAGCACCACAACAACAGAGTAGGACCACAACTAAAGGGTAGAATCACAACAACAGAGTAGGACCACAACAACAGAGTAGGACCACAACTAAAGGGTACAACCACAACCACATGGTAGAACCACAACCACAGAGAAGAACCACAACCACAGAGTACCACCATAAAAAACACATAACAACAGAGTATGACCACAAACACACAGGACCACTACAACAGAGTATAACCACAAACACATGGTACCACAAGCACAACGTAGAACCACGCCCACGGAGTAGGACCACAAACACAGAGTAGCACCACAAAAAACAGAAAAGGACCACAACAGAGTACTACCATAAAAATCAAATAGCCACAATCACAGACAACTCTCACTTTATATTTGCTATAAGCTCCAACTTAATGAAGTTTTTTTAATTGCTTTTCAACTGACGTCATCTAAGCTGTTAGATTGTGGAGCATGTCGTGCAGATGTAATCTCATTAGCGTTGATTGTGTGAATGCTTGCCGGGCTTAATTTAAATATCTGACGATAATGTCTGAACCCCCGCCTTTGTTTACTTCCTGGTTACAAAGAAAGTTTTGTCTTTAACTATGTGAGCACAAGTGGGTTCAGATCTAATCCTTATCTGTCCTGCTCACATGTAGAATGACGTAACTGTTGCTGTTCTGCCCACATGTAGGATGACGTAGATGAAACGATTGAGTTGTTTCATTAAATTATTGCCTTTGTTGATATCATTGTATATGCCATTGGTCCATGCCAATGACCATGTCATTTGTCCGTCAATGACAGTGTTATTTGCTTGGCAACGACTTCGCCATTTGACCGTGTCAGTGATAGCGTCAGCATCAATCAGAGGCGTAGCGAGGGGGGGGGGGTGGTGCGGACCGCACCGGGTGACACCATTTAGGAGGGGGTGACACCAAGGCAAAAAATAGCAAAATAAATAGAGAAAACTTTGAGATGGGGGGTGCAAATCGACAGTTTGAGGGGGGGGGGTGCAAATTGAAAGTTTGAGGGAGGGGGTGCAAATTGAAAATTTGTCCCCGGGAGGGTCGCTGCTACGCCTCTGGGGGATGACACCATTAAGTGTTTATAAATCATTTGGACAAAGTACACTGTTGAAGGTACGGAAATTCAGCTTTTTAGTTAAAAGGATTTTACAAAGTTAGCAAATGGACAAACACACAAAATAACAAAAGATATTGGCAACTGCTAACGGAAAGAACGCAGTTTGAAAATATAATAGTTTGTCACCCTTTCATCATCTAGTTCTGCGCGTTAATTGATACGTCTAGTAGTGACATTATAAATATTGGTATTATTACATACTTTTTAAATTTAGAATTGCGAGTGTTGCGTCACTAGATTTGGCTTAAAATTTAAAACGAAAAATGACATGTAAACATTTTTAAACTCAAGGTTTCATTAATTTTTATGTGTGCGCTTTTTTCTGTTTGCGCTTTTTTCTGTTTGTACTTTTTTCCTTTGCGCATTTTTTACCGCTTTTTTCCCCGTTGCGCTTTTTCCCCCACGTTTTCTTTAACTTGCTTTCGCGTCTGTTTGTTTGTTTGTCTTTCCATCAAATCTTGCGATCAAAATTTCGGGCACTTCCCAGTTAGCTAGCGCGCTGACATTTTCAGGAAAGCTTTGTTTTCGATGACAATACAATATTCAATTATTATTATTACTAAATTGATCCATGGAAAAATGTTATTGATCATTTTAGACTCCTATTGATTTGTACAAAAAGGGACATAACCTAGTAATTGTAATTTGATAAAAACAAGGTTCGGTACTTTCCCTCTTCGGGCTTACTGTTCAATCAGAAAACGTGTTTTTTTTTACATTTTTAAAATGATAATTATTCTGTTGCGCATCTTTCTGGTCACCTTAATATACATATCCACACCGTAGCGAAGCACGGGTATAAGCGTTTATGTTTAGTTTTTGTTCTATTCCGAAGTTTGTACATCTCATTTAATTTAAAAAAATATTCACCGTGGCGAAGCACGGGTATGCGGATAGTATATATATATATATATATATATATATATATATATATATATATATATATATATATATATATATATATATATATATATATATATATATATATATATATATATATATATATATATATAAGAGGGGGGGACGGCCCCTTTTTTCTAGTTCCGCCAATGATATATATATATATATATATATATATATATATATATATATATATATATATATATATATATATATATATATATATATATATTAGCTGTATGTTATTGCTTCGCTATGATGTAAAATAAATTTAGAGTAGCACTCTGAAGAAATAAAAACAAGTTAATTAAAAAGTCTTGTGACAATTTTAGCGCAATTTCCTTATGTTATCTAAAAATAGCTCTGACGTATAATGCTGGGGTGCGTTCAAGCTAGGAGAACGATCGGTTTGTAGGTGTTTATGTAATTTTAAAATTTGTGACCGAACGAAAGAATATTTTTGAAAACTTTCTTCGGCAATATTGTTCTAAATTATGGCAGGAATCGATTGGTAAATGTTTCAAGTCGCTAAGTGGTCTGGTTGCCGAGATATGGGTAAAAAACTGCATTTTTTTTTAGTTTTTTTGGCTTTTCCGTGAAATCCAGGAAGGAATTCCGGGAATTTTTTTGGCCCACAATCATCCTCGGAACTTGCTTAACAAATTTGCTTTTGGAACTAGTCCTCGATATTGCTTCGTTGAGGAGGAGATACGACTTAAAGCTGCGAACACACATCCATCCATTCCCAGAAAAGACGAGTTAATAAACCCAATTCTCCAGAATGGAAATTGCGCTAAAACACACAATGTAGCCGACAGAACAAAAACGAGATTAACAGATTACAAATTACAATCGTCTATAAACGACGTCACATTTTTGCCAGTTTGTTACTCTCGCATAAACACCCTATCGTCCCAAAAGAAAAATGTTTAGCCGACCATCTACTTTCTACTCGCAAAATTAATATTTTGTAACGGGATATAGATCTAGATTCTAGATCTAAACCTAGATCTAGATATAGATCTAGATCTAGATCTAATCAAGCTAGATAATTTCCGAAGATATAAATTTAGTAGTTTCTCTCCCCTCCGTAACAAATTCAAATCAAGGGAAGCTACTATGAATATTTTAAACTAAACAGTCCTGTTTCATTCATTAGTTTTCTTTAGTTTGTGACTGTTATTTGCCTTCTTTAATTATTTCATCATAATATTATTATTTATTCCAATACATTTTGGAAAATCATAGCAATGGAACTACCCCATCTAGGGAAAAACTGCGAATTTACATCTTGTAACCAACTAGGTAGGCCAAAAGACTGAATCACTACTTTTACTTTTATACTTTAGAGACTTTTAGAGGTAATCTATCGTTTTGGGTACGTAAAATCGCCCGCGGCTATTTATGTACGAAAACGTTACCTCATTGTCAAGGCTTTAATAGAAGTATATTGTCATACTTTTGTGTCAAATATTATAGATAAATGAATAATAAACCTAAATCAATGGCTAAATATATCGATATAGGCCAGAAATTAACTTTAAACAGCAGTGTCTGAGAGCAAGATTTGCTATATAAACAGCAGCCATTTGTAAAATAGAGTGGCTTCCCCCTGAATCTGGCGCTAAAAGCTTATAAAAATAAATCTTAGACAAGATGGCTGCTATAGTAAATGAGCATGGTTGCATCTGTTGGAAACATCGCTATTCTTCATTTATTACGGAAAAGTTTTAATTCAATTGTTTAAAAACAATTACATAAATGAAACAAGGAAACATTTTTATATTTTAAAAAACATAAATCCTCATCAAAATGTGAAATAATTATTAAAATTTAAGGAGTCACCTGTTTTTCACATTACAAATCGCGGGCGATTTTACGTACCCAAAACGATAGATTACCCTTTTAGACTAAGTCACTAAGTTTAGACTTTAGGCTTTAGTTTAGGGCCAGTTTAGGCCTACTCATACTGGTCTTTTAGATCTAGATTCTAGATCTAGATAGATCTAGATTATAGATCTAGAGTAAGATTCTAGATCTAGAATTCTAATTAGTTACTTTTTGACCGGCTAAAAACTAGACTCTAGCTAGAGGGTAGGCAGTGAGTATTACTGTATTACAGTTACAGCAAACATATTGAATTAACTAGATCTAGAGTCTAGATCTAGACTAGTTCTAAATCTAAAAAAAAATTTATAACAGACTAATGTCACTAATGCACTCACACACATGATATATTGTTAATTTGTTCAAATTGAAAAAAAAGACATTTTTTTTCAAAACCCTATCAATCCAGAAATGAGCATCTAATGTTTGTATTCTGTTTTTGTATATATATAAATATATATGTTACGGTCAAAGCCCGAAGTCGGCCAATGCGCAGATTGGCCGGCCGATATCGCCTCCCATTGATTGACCGGTCAAAGTCCATAACTTTGCTTGATTTCAGTCTTTGGCCGGCCAATCCGCGGGACTGACCATGGTGGACTGGCCAAAGTCTTAATTAGAAGATCATCTGGCTAGGGACGACCGGCCAAAGTCCGAATTAGAAGATCATGTGCAGATTTTTTTTTTTTATGCCGTTAAGGATCATGAAATTAAGTTTTTATTGATCATTAATTAAAGTAAATGACAGAAACATTAAAAATTTTTATTGTACTATAATCTCAATCAATCAATATTATCATTTGTTACAACAAGTTGAACTTTTATGGCATTTAGAATTACATAGTAGCTTGTTATTTTTACACTTGCAGTGATTTGTTGTGCACTTGGTTGTGCAATTGCAACGAGTGTAGCCTTGGCCCCCAGTCAATGATTGTGAAGATGCGATGGTTCGTAGTGATTTTTCCTCAGTGCCAACTGACGACAATAACAGCAGTTTTTCGTGAAGAATTGAAAACTTACTTCTAGCATATAGTTGTTTTAGAACACAATGTACCGTTCCTAATTTGTAGAAACCGCCCTCGACACTCATGACAACTGCAATCACGCTTCGGGGATCACCGCGACCTCTGTCAACATCTGGAACACGGATGCGTACATTGTGACCCACATCAGCATCTTTAAATTTTGTATTTGATGTTTTAAGCAACTTAGCACCTTGAGTTTGCAAGCTAGTATGAGCTGCTGACCTGTGTTCCATGATGTCTTGTTTGTTGTGACATAATCTGGAGGTAATATTTCCTCCGTAACCTTCGTCTGCTTCAATGGATATTCCACACATAGCATGGACATCATTGCCACAGGATCCACAAGAATGAGCTGCACTACAATGTTTTTCACAAACTATACAGAATCTGTTGGCCACATTATTGTCACGCAACTGGTCTGGGCGTTCCGCCACCGCAGCAGATGTGTTAGCTGACGAAGTCGTTGCATTTATGGCAACCTCCATTTCTTGTTCAATGTTCTCAAGATCTGGTTTCTGATGCCCACGCCATCTCAAGTCGCTTGGACACTATTGTTCAAATTACAAGGAACGCGGCAAAGTCTTTTGAACGTTCCGTCTTGTTGCACGTGGTCGGAAACTAACATGTATTTACATTTTTTTCTTTTGACAGCCATCTGCTATGTCTGTCTCATGGTCTGACGGCCATTTTGACTCATGTCGCCTTGCATATAGAATGCTATACAAACAAGAGCTAAACAATACGTTACTCACAATGAAACCGCACCCAGAATAATGAAAACGTGATCACAACTTAGTCTAGATAAAACATTGGCCAGGACATCCCCGCCAATGCGCGCACAATGTACAAAATAAGCTGTTAAGTTTAAGCGCTTCGGACTTTGGCCAATACTTCCTGGCCAGTGCGCGCATTGGCCGGCCAATGTACGAAATACGATCTTAGTGCTAAGTTCTTCGGGCTTTGGCCCTCGGAAATCTTTTTGTCCACAAAAAAAAAATGTTTGCTTGAGGGGGCTGAGGAACTTTGCCCAGAAAATTCAAAACAATTTGAAAATGTAGCTTTTGGTGCAAATACCATTTTCCGCCGTGTTGCAGACAGTGGTGAAAACAGTGTGACTCAAAGTGCAAAAAATGTAAGCAAGTTTTGCCATTTTTCAATTGCAATGGATGAGTCACTGTTCCTCCTCTCTACTGTTTGCGTTCATTAGAGGTGTGCATGAAGACATGAACATAACACAAGGGCTGTATATATTTCTATATAAATTATATTTAGTTGGGGAGGGGGAATGCTTGGAAGAAACTGGCCCCCGAACTGATATTATCAATTAATGCGGCCCTCGGGCTGAAAAGTTTGTAGACCCCTGCTATAGACTATAGAGATTTATTCTTAACTGTATGAATCCCTACTATTTACTATGCAGTAGTAGATCTATGTAGATCTAGACTAGATCTACATAGACTAAATTTTAAAAATGGTTACATTTCAGATTTTCTCCCTTTTCAATGTAGTGGCTGTGGAAAAACATTTTGGTAAGAATTCTTATATTTGTTGCAGTCTTTTGGACTAAATATTAAATACTTAAATTTGCATAAAAAGCTTTTTATTAAGATTATTGACTTTTTTTAAAGTAATGTTTATTTAAAATTTTTGTATGCTGTTCATTACTAAAATTATGAAATTTTTTTCAAAGCTTAAATCACAAATCTAGAGAGCAACACAACTGTACAGCTGTAAGTAAAAAAAATAACTAGCTTGTTATCATTAATTTTAAATTAACAAATCATATATTTTTAAGCATATCTTTTATAGGGTTACGTCTGCTTGAAGAAAATGTTTTATTTTTTAAGCCAGAAGCTCAACACTTGGAGTTCACAGGCGAAAGGTCTTACCCATGTAGCTGGACTGGGTGCGAGAAGAGAGAGTTAGCTCCCATCATATGTCATCACTGTGAGCTTAGCTTTTGTCTGGGGTAAGTTTTTACATGCAAATTTGAAGAATTAAATGTTTACACTACAGCACTAAATAATTGAACCTGTAGAAAAATTATTAATTTTGAAGCTATCCATGTTATTTCCTATTTAAATAAAACATTGTTTACTGCAATTATCTGTTCTTGTATCTATTTGTAATTAGATGTGCAATTATTTTTTCTAGTTACATGTAGTTGAAAGGCTTAAGGGGATATGCGCGGAAAAAAATCACAAAATTTCTTGTTTTTCGTCATGATGGGTTTCTTGCACTTTTGGATACTTTGTAAATTTTTGTATACAGAAAATAATAACTTTAAAGAGAAAAAAATATTTTTTGTGTTTGAATTACGATTTTTATGACCCTATTAATTTAAAAATAATCAAATTTTCCCAATCTTACAAGCTCTCTATGAAAAGTTTTATATTCGTCATTATATTGTATTTGACATCATTCGAAAGCTGGATTTCTCATGTATTTAATAAACTTAATTTCCTACACCTCGGAAGCACCAAAAGCTTACAATCGGCTTTGCAGTTTACACAGATATGGTACTTTCCTGACCTAGTTTTCGTTACTTTTGGCTGTTTTTCTCAGTTCGCAGGTTTTTAACACTAAAAAGCCTACTACTTTTTTATTTATTAAACAATGCCAACCATATTTTCAGTAATTGTTCTTGGTGCGAAAATACAACTTTTGTCACGAGGGAATTGTGATTGCTTTCATAGAAAAAAAGTATTTGGTAATTAATATGCACATTTTGAAACTTTTGAATACTAAAAAGGGTACGATTTTTTAGACCTTGTAAAATTCTTACTAGTAATTATTTCAAAAAGTTGTCGTGACAAAAGTTTTAATATATACTGAAATATAAGCAGATTAAATTTGATTGCTACAGGTGCATAAATAAAAAAGCCTTAGTATTTTTAAAAGTACCGAAAAATTCAAAATGGCGGAGGTTTTTTTGGGTTTCCATGACAACCAAAATTGTTTTCGACCCTTTTTTTGCTGTTTAATAATTACTTGTATATGCCAAATATGATAAAAGTATTCAAAAGGCTTTAGATCTTAAACTGTAAAAAATAGAAAAAAACATAGCATATCCCCTTAATATTTAAAAGTATTATCTATTTTTTGGGGCATAGAAAGGCCTATATCATTTTAATGTATTGCCTCTTTTAATTATCATTATTTTGTTTATATCAGCTATGCTGATGATACATGCTGATTTAGACGAAATTCAGCTCAGCCCATCAACCCCATCTCTTCTATCTGATGTGCTATTTTTAAAATATTTCTCCACCTGACACAATGTATTTTCAGCCACAGATTACAAGAGGACCACAGCTGTATAAAGTTGCCAGAGAAGGCTCCAGAGGTTACTAAGACAACACAACATGTTCAACAGATACTTGGTAAGTATTTGTTGTTTATGAAGTTTTAAAAAGTATTTCTCCTGATCTTGTTTGTTTCATTATCTTCTCTTATTTTTATTCTGTAAATACTCTGATTATAATACATGTTTTACATCCCTGCATTACTTACTTGAACTGTATTTTTCAAGCTCAGAGGAATATCCAACCTAGAAGCAAGTCACTGAATCCCAAGGCCCTTCAAATGGCAGCTAAAGTTGCCTTAATGAAGATGAAAGAGAAAGCAGTCGGGGACCAGGGCTTGAGTGAACGTGTCTATTTTAGAATCATCTTGCCACTGGAATCCAAGAAGCTTCCTCTACACCTGTTTTTCTCAAAGGTTCTTGTACATTTTTAAAGTCTCTTCTGTAGGTTATCTATTTTTTATTGCCTAAAGTTTTGAAGATATCAACATAGTTTTCCGCTAATAAATTGGTTGTTGTACCGCAGGTCTGGTCTGTCGGGCGTGTGGTTGACTATAGTGCTGACAAGGCATCTGTAACAAACAACAATAACACAAGTGCAGAAAAGGTAAAGACAATTTTTTTACTTTCTCGTATATACGAAGTATAGAGAAAGTCTTGTAATCGTGCAAAAAAAAAAATCGAGATTTTTGCAAATCTCGACGTTTTACATCTCACTGATACGGAAAAACATAATTTTGCAATCTTGTCCGTATGTCTGTGTGTGTGTGTGTGTGTCCGTGTGTAAACACGATAACTTGAGTACCGTTACAGCTAGGTTGATGAAATTTCATATACAAGTATTTTATCAAAATCGTAGATCCGTATCAACTTTTGAGCGATTTCGGATAACCGGAAGTGGTACTTTTTCTACTTTGAATTTTTCAAAAGCCTATAACTTGAGTACTATTTCAGATAGATAGATGAAATTTGATATGTAAGTAAAAGATCTAATTCTCTACCTTCTGTCAAATTTTGAGAATTTTTCGTTGACCGGAAGTACTTATTTACGCTACTTCCGATTTCTCAAAAAACTAATGTAAATTTTAAAAGTACTAATAATATTGCGCACTATTATGCGCTTTTTTTATTCGCGTTCACTTGGTGTGCAATTAATTTGTCTACGAGATTTTATTCTATTTTTAAAACTTAAAGTATTTAAAATGGATTAAAAATCATGTCTATAGCCCGAGTTCCCATCCCCTGTTATTTTATATAAGAATATTCGAGAAAGTTTAGGGGAGATCACTCCCGGTTTATTTAACATTTTCACTCACTTTATTGTCCAGTTTTGGCAGGAAAATAACTTCATCTTGTAGTTGATTTATTGATAGTAACAAAACTATTTGAAGCTTGTTTTTGTATATGATTTTTTTCAAAAATTTCATGGGGCATCAGTTAAACTGAATTCTGTGTATTTGGTACTGGGTCAAACAAACCACACTGCTATTTAAACACATCCTGTCCAGATTTTTGTGCTAGGTTATTCAATAAAAATATATTAAAAATGCAAAACCACACAATCTCAGCTTTAAAATATCACTTAAATAGATTCAGAGATATTTGATGTCATTTTATTTCTAGTGTAAATTATTGAAATTACTTGAGAAAAATAATTTATTATGGCCGGTTCATAAACTACCATAATTTTTTGTCACTAATTATTAAAAGCATTTTCTTTAGTTTGATCACAGCTGTTCTGCTCCTTTGCCTCCTTTATGAAAAACAAATGTCCACACACTTTAAACACGCCCCTCTCCTCCCCCAGAAACTCTGTTTGTTTCATGCAGACACAGGTGCCAGACTTCCAGCTGACAAGAAATTGTCTGAGCTTATGGAAGACCAGTCTACTTTTATACTGAATGGCTCAACACTGGTGCTAGAGTACACAACAGATGCCACTGACTTCTTGGATCATTTAGATTTATACAAAACACAATAAACAACCATTATTTTTTTATAGCATTGCTTCACGTTTATTTTATACCTATAGACAAGTAGGATGAAAACATAAAATTGAGACCTGGGTATAAAGAGTTTTGTAAAAATCAGTGCTTGTAAATAAATTCATCAATAATGGTACTTTTGGAAATGGGTATTTTAATCACAGTAAACACCAGAGATGATAAAACAGATGAGCTAGAAAATATCATTTGATCCCTTGATCTTACAGTTAACACACATGCCAAAAATAAATTGTCCTCAAACAGCTTGATATAACATCACATTCTGAGTTAAAGAAAGTAATGTAAACAAATTTAAAATAGCAATCAGAATTTTAAATAGGTTACATGTTTTAAGAATTTTTTTTCTTTTACACTTGTGTTTTTATTATTGGAAAACCTCTCCAATTTAAATTATTCATAAATAAAACTTTATATACAGTCATCTAATAAAAATAAGATACACATTTAAATAGTGTTAGTTTCGATTAAGTAAACAATTTTAAGCGATTTTCCTCATAATCAATATTTAGCTTATCAGTAAATTCATTTGGTTTTAAAGAAAAATGTGCATAAGAGAAGAGAAAAATTGGAGTATTTAGTAACAGTTTAACATTTTGAGTTTGAGCAAACCATGAAACTTTGATAGATGCAATATTATTTCAACTTTAACTGGAGGATAGCAATCATCTGAAAAATTATTCAATCTCTAAATAAAAAATATTATATAAGAATACTAATAGATCAAGATTTTTATTTTAAAGCCCCATTAATGTAAGGCATTATTTATTATAGATATTCAATAAAGACAATTTAAATATGGATTAATCACAACAATGAACAATTGTTTTAAAGAATTGGGAGAGAATGAAATATTCAGATCATACAACCTATGAAAACAGTATATAATGGGTAAATAATACGGGGAACAATAAAGCACTTTTAAAAATATATATATGGTAGAATAATTGAATTTTAGCATGACTATTTGGCATGGAAAGATAATATATATTTTTGGTTTGGCCTACATAAGGCAGAAAAATTTAAAATTTATCTAATCCCTTCTATTAAACTGAGATAACAAATTAATATATTCTAATGACAAAACCAATATAAATATGACTTACAGAGTAAAAACAGGTATCTAATTGCAAAGCATTAAGGCACAAAAAAAGCAAGGAGCTTCATTATGTGTTTGTAAAGTAGGATAGAAATCAAAATGATTATCTACAAAGATGAAATAAAAACTGAAAAAGAATGACTAATGCCTATGGTTAATGTAATGCTGAATACATTTGGTACTGAACTAAATAAATACTAAGATGTTTAAAATATTATGCTTTGAATCATTCAGCTGTGTTAAAAATTGTAATGAAAGTGTACTTGCATAAACAGTAAAAAAAAGCATAATTTAAATGAAAATATAAGCATAGATAACATGGTTTGTTTCTTATCACATTGAACAGATAAATTTACAACCGGTAGATAACAGAAGTTCTGACAGCCAAATGTACTCTCTTTTTAATCTGACACACCTGGGTAATATTGCTGACCATTGTCAGCTGTTCCTACCTAAACCTTTCCTGTACAGACTTTGTCACTGATACTTTAAAGCAGGGATATAAAAAAATGTTTTATAAAACATTCCATGTTTTGTACTTGGTAATGGTAAGTTTAAAAGTTCCACCCCCCAGGAAGTGATGCTATCACTGGATACAAGACTGTCATCTGGATATACGACTGTCTATGTGGGTTTTGCCATAGGCTGTAGCCCCCTCATCTTGTAGTAGTCAGTCACTTGTTTTGGGACTTCGGCCAAAACATGACGCGCTAACTCCACTGGGCTGCTCTGTAATAAATATAACATAACTGGCTGTAGAATAGGGTTTACGTGTACTCTAGTAAACAACACCAATTCTAAAATAAATTGAACTTTGAGTTAAACTACATAAATTTAATTAATTATAAGACATCTGTGTCCCACAAGGAATCAAAAGGTTACAAAGATATAAGATGAAAATTATTATTTATTGTTAACTGATATAAGAAACTTTACATAGGCAAATGAATGAATTTGTGAGAGTTTGAAATTTTTGCTTACATGTTTGAAATCCCTGAAGGGAACGAACTGGACAATATCTCTCTTAGCTGGCTCCCCATTAGCTGCCCTTAGCACCCCATCGTCTCCATCCAATATCTCCATGTCACTGAAGTCTGCCTGGCCCACTCCAACTATGATGAGAGACATGGGCAGTTTGCTGGCCTCCACTATAGCACTTTTTGTATTGGACATGTCACTTAGAACACCATCGGTCAGCATCAGTAGGATGAAATAGGCCTGGAAAACAAAAAAAAAACAATTTACATAACTAGGATAAATATAAAAGCATTTTTATTTGTCTCTTAGTGTTTCAAGGTATTGTTTGTTATACCTCCTGATTCTAATAGGTAAGAATTAATTAAAGAGATTTGACTGTTTAAATAAAGATTTCAAGTGCAGCATTGGTTATCTGTGTAGCTTAAAAAATAATTTTAAAAAATGTTTTAGATTGTAAGATCATGAATTCACTTTATTTTAAATTGTAATTTAATTTTTATTTAAAACTGTGATGATAGGATTATGAACCCACTTTATAATTATATTATGGCCCTAATTAAATCTTTATTTCGTTAAAAATTGTGATAGTAAGATAATGAACCTGTTTTATTTTTAAATCTGTATTTTTTTTTAAATTGTGAAAGTAAAATTTGAACCCACTTTATTTTTAATCCTAAATTTGTTAAAAATTGTGATAGTAGGGTTATGAACCAAAAAAAACAAAACAAAGAAAGCCACTGACATGAGCTCCTTTAGAGCCCTCCTCCCTCTGAGCTTGAGCAGCAAATCTGGCCACATGATGAATGATAGGAGCAGCATTGGTTGGTCCATACAGCTGGACTTGTTGGATACAGTTATAGTAGGCTTGGAGAATCCCATCTATGCCTAGCAAATATCAGTTATGGAAATACATAGCTTTCATTGAATCAAGGATGTAGCTTGTTCTAATTTCAAATTTTCCAAAAGCCAAATGTTTTATAACTAGAATGATCAAAACTGAATATTTAAAAACAAATATTACAAAATTGAAGGTAATTTTTAAAATGTGAAATAGTAAAATAATGTCCACATGTTAAATTAATACGGAGCGTGACAACAGTTAATGTTTTTTTTTTAATTGTTAGGTAACCTCCCCTACAACTACAGTAAAAGATGAAATAAGTGAACAGTCATAAAACATCTTTAGAAATTCTGCCACAATAATATTAAGTAATCTACAACTTATCATACCTTGACAGTATGGGTTCTGAAGGTTGAAGTTTAAAGCGAATTCATGAGAAATTTCCATCTTAGGTGGTATACGTGCTCCAAAGCCTAGGGCAGGGAACAACTTGTCACTGTTAACAAAATCAATCATTAAATTAGTAATAAACCACAACAGATTTTGTTTATCCATACATTGGTAATAAACCACAACATCCTGTGTCGTTGCATAATTTAACCACAGCAATACTGATAGAATATAGTCTTCAAAAAGACAACAGTTTTAGCCAGACCAGTTAGCCCTCATCGTCCATTTTCATGCCTCTAACCTCAACAGGTGCAAACCTACCTGTTTTAGTAAACACCTTTTTCCAACACCTCTTCATTAAATTTAACACAATACACTGTGTTATCTATATATATAATTATCTTCTTGGATACCCTAGAAAACACCAAGCTGTAAGCGCGCCTAGCAGCTCCCTCTCTTCCTCTCTAAGCATATCCCTACCACCCCACATGGTCTGGTGAGCTGTGGTTCACGCTAAATGTCTACAATCGTAGAGCCAGGTATAGTGACGGATATTAGGGGCAGATAATTTAGTTTGAAACAATTTTAAACTTAGGGGAGGTAACTAAGAGGAGGCTGCTTTCACGGGGGGGGGGGGGGTTGGGGGAAAGGAGGATTATCGTCCTTAACGACCTACACGTTACTAATAAACCACATAATATTCTAAATATTCTAATGCAAGTTGTAAACTTTTTGTCTAAATATCAATCCCACATAGGACGAGACAGATGTGCAAAAAAAAAATTGTAACTTACGAGTCGTAGTCCTGGCACACCTCCCCTACAGTTTTTATTGCTGCCATGTATTCATTGGGTGAGTGAGGATTAATGTAGTGAAGTGATGTAGACTGGGATGGGTTTCCATTTGATGCTGTAAAATCTATACCAACCTAATGAAAGATATCAGCTTAGTTAGCACATCCATGAAAACAAAGTAGTTGGCTTTTGTTTATCTCTACTAAATAATACTTACTGTAAAATTGATCTGCATGCCTGAAGTCACAAAATCTAGAAAGGTGTATTCTTTGACAATCTGAGGGAAAGAATTCAAGAGTTTGTTGTACATGTAAATTCTAGAAAAAAAAAAGTAGAAATCGTAGAGAATGAGCTGTTTATTAGTTGCTTTTCTCTGGCTAGGTCAAATCACTACCCCGTGAGATTTTTTAATTGAGAGGAAAAATGAAAACTCACTTTACAGGAGGTTAAATGTATAGTTCCTGAATTGGTGTAACTTTTTTTCTTTGCTTTACTGGCAGGATTTATGCATGGCCAGGTCACCTGAAATATATTAAGGAAACATAAGCTGATATAAGTAATAGTGCTTAATTGAATAAAGCTAAAATTAACACACAAATGTTAAAAATGCTAATCCTTATATATAAAAGCCCATGTGGGCACTTCTCTCTCTTTTTGTCGGCAACATTTTAGAGGTTATAAGATCAGTATGTTCAGCAATATATGGAGAACTTAAAGATACAGACTTTTGTTGAAAATAATATGATGGGTGTTTTAAATGTATAAACTAAATTTTATTTAAAGAAAAAAATTTAAAATATAGCAATATTTGAATGTAGAAACACATTTTTTTTTATTAAGCAACCAGAAATTGTTTATGGTTTTGACTTGAACACAATAAACAATGACGTCACATGTGACATGTTTAAACTACAGAAAGAACACAAAACTAATGGCGTCATCTTCCAATTTTAGAATATAAAGAACTGAACTATTTTATTCAAATTTAATTTAGATCTAGATCTACTTATCAAGACATACAAATTACTTTTAAAAAAAAAACATAATGTCCATTGAACAGCAGGGTTTTTAAAGGAACCAATTAACTATCTTAATCAGTTTGTGCATTTAATATGGTGTTGTGTTGACTAATAATGTGTACGAGCCGACCCATGGCATATCATATGCCGCTATTTAGTTGTTACATTTTCTACTTTTCAGTAATACATAATTTGTGAATTCGACAGTACCAATGCTGCCACTGAAAATATTTGCTTTAAAACACCATCAGAAGGTCGTTAAGGACGATACCCCCCTCCTTTCCCCCAACACCCCCCCCCCCCCCCAGTGAAAGCAGCCTCCTCTTAGTTACCTCCCCTAAGTTTAAAATCGTTTCAAACTAAATTATCTGCCCCTAATAGCCTTAACTAAACCCGGCTCTACAATTGTAAACATTTAGCGTGAACCACAGCTCACCAGACCATGTGGGGGTGGTAGGGATATGCCTAGAGAGGAAGAGAGGGGCTGCTAGACGCGCTTACAGCTTGGTGTTTTCTTTGGTCTCCATGAAGAGAATTATATCTATAGATAATTTGGTTTTAATTTTTCTAATAGGAATTGGTAGCCTAAGTTATTTTTTAAATGTTTCGGATTTTTAGCTATTAAGTTATTTCTTTTCTTTGTCACTAATATCCTTCAATATGTAGTAAAGCACATAGCATTTTGACCAATAACTATTGGATAAAATATTTTTCTCAAACACCTATAACATTAAACTATCTAGACTCATAATTCATGTGTAACGGGTACCGACGGCTAGTCTATAATAAACTGTTTACAATCAATAAATTTTATCCCCACTTGTATGGTTAAATAACAACTTAGATTTTTTTTAAAATTGATTATAAGAAAATATAAAATAGTTTAGAAAACCTGTTGACTGAAATGTGAATACACAAGGGAGATAAGAAAGATTATACCTCTTGTGTTGCTGCTCTGGACATTTCTTCAAATGTTGTTGTACAGGTGCCAATGAAATCATGGCTTCCATCATTGTCCCAATCATAGCAATCAATCTAAGGATATAATTTTAAACATTTTAACCATAATTTACATGTAAAAAAAATAAAGTATTAGCACAGATATATCAAACATTACATTGAAACATTTCAATAGCATCGCAACAATAATAACTGACACTAATGCTCAAATCTTAGCACAGTACGCACAAAGGCTAAAGGTTTAATTGTTGCTGACCTTAATTTTCTGAAGTCTGTTTCCTCCACAGAGTTTCTGTAGTGACAACTGGAAGGGTCTCCATGAAGGATTTAGGTTATTTTTAATCACCTGTCAACCCAAAACAATCTTAATATATGTGTTCTACTCAAATAAATATTTCAAGGACAAAATAACATAGTTTTGACAAATGTTATTTCATTAATTTAATACATCAGTTTTTACATTGATAATAGAGTTTTAAAAAAAATGTTTAAAAAGTTCTAGTTATTGTAAAAGTCTAACTGACCTCTGTTTTATGGACCATTTGCCAGCTACCATCTAGGGCTGCCCGGTGTATTTCCAGGTAGGGATCAGATTTTCCAAAGAAATCCTGATGGGATAACACATTATTTTAATACTACGTTGTTTCATTTTACTGCCATCAGAAGGTCACAGGAACATGTGTTAAATGTGTCAATCTACCTCTGGTAACATAAGTGCAGTGACTCTCCCACAACCTACATCCCCTATACCAGAGGATAGAGCACACAAGTGCTAAGACTAAAGTCTCAAGTTTGAATACCAAGCCTACCTCACCTAAATCAGGATAGGCAAAGTTAAGGTGGTGGCTGGACACTTTCTCTTCCTATACCAAGGTCACAGAAACAGGTGAACTCTACTTCATCTGCCTCACAGACCACCAAGCCAGAAAAGGTAACTAACCCCAGTAAGCTTGCACCTATCTGATGCCAGCAGTTTTAAAAAATCTTTGGTCTCAATAACAAAATCTCTGTTATATTTTATAGAAAAATCCAACACTATCTGGCATGTTTACTGCTGCTTTGTGCCAGTTACTCATCAAAATATGCAACTAAAAATGAGTTCATTTATGTTTGTAAAGCTATATAATTCTAAACTATAAAAAAACAGACCTAATTCATAGTTAATGCTAACCTTTTTATCAAGTTTTGAAGCTCTAAACGTAAGTAAAGTGCTTTCAGTTCCTTCTTTGATTTCTTCTGTTCTGATCTATAAATAGTTGAAAACAAAAAAAAATTTAATTATAATTTTTATATGTAGAGAATGGACAAAAATTGCAAAAATAAATAATTCTGTAAAATATGAGTTTAAAATTTAAAAAAACTAACTGTGATGGTTCCTTGTCCAGCTGGCCTACCATTCTTCAGAAACAATTTGGCAGTAAATGGGGTGTTGGATACAAGCTAAGAAAGAGAAAAAATTGTTACATCATTTTATAAGATCCTTTTTAATTTGATAACAATAAAATATCTAAATCATTTGTACATTGCAAGTTTTCGAGTTTTTCAAACAATGACTAAAAACTCACAGTCTAACCTGACCCAAAGCCGACAGACCCCTCCACTGTATAATCTCACCTAATGCTAACAGACCCCCAAACTGTATAATCTCACCTAAGGCTAACAGACCCCTTCCCCCACAGTATTACCTGACCCAGTGTGGTCTCCAGCTGCCCCAAGAAGTCATCATCTGTCAACTGTGGGGTGGCATTATCAATATCATACACAGCAATCAACAGCTTCTGAACTTCCTCAAAGAAATAGTTGATGACAAATGTTTTGTTAAACTTTGGGTTCAGGTTGTTCTTTATATTCTCTGTTCTTCCATACTGTAAACATATTCAAATATTTTAAAATTATTTTCTTTTAAATGATGGCTGGAAAATAATTAATTTCTATTACCTATTTATTTATTAATTTCTATTTATTGAACTAATATTTCAGCTATGAGATAAATTCATGAAGTAAATCAAGTCTACTAGCAATAATCTACTTTTTAATAATTAAAACTTAATGCTTTTAAATTGCACTAATTAAATAGTTGACAACAATATTAAATATATTTTAAAAAACTAACTTATCAGTGTTAGCTTTGTTTATGCTATAAAAATGTTAAAAATTTGGTGTCAGATACATGATATAAACCTACACTGCAACTAAGAATGAGTAAATTAAACTGGTTTCTGATATATTAAATACAAGTAGGACATCAGAGTCTAAAAAGTTGTATTACCTCCTCCCACCTGCCCCCACGCATCATGTATAGAACAGCGCAAGGATCTGACTTGGAAAGTAAGTCTTTGTTCAACAGGTTTTTACATTCCAGCTGAATCTCCACCCTGGATTTAAACTGGTCGGCACCTGGTCTGTTTACTCCAGCTGAATGAGAAGATTAATAGCATTTTAAAAAATAAACAGTAGATAAATAGAGTATCATAAAAAAACTTTACTTTATATCCAGAATTACTGGAATGACCTCGTTGCGATTAAAAATTAACAGCTTTGGATTTATTAAATAAAACGTTAATTAAAACAAGAGAACTAGAAAATAAAAACTGTACATGCTGACCTGCCCCAGCAGCCATGGTCGAATTAGTTGACCCAGGTGGCCCAGGGTAACCTTGAACTAGTGTCTGACCTTGACCTGGATAAGGAGCTGGACCTCTGGGTTGATAGTTTGCTTGGCCTTGAGTCTGGCCTTGAGGTGGATAGGCTGACTGACCAGGCGCAGGGTATGGCCCCTGGCCTTGTGGCTGTGTCTGGGGTGGATACGGCCCCAGGCCTTGTGATACATTTCCAGGGGCTGGATAAGGTGCTTGACCAGCTGCGGGATAGGGTGTTTGGCCAGGGGCTGGATAAGGTGCTTGACCAGAGGCTGGATACGGTGCTTGACCAGTGGCTGGATAAGGTGCTTGGCCAGAGGCTGGATTGGGTGCTTGACCAGGGGCTGGAGGCCGTGTTTGGCCAGCTGCAGGAAATGATGCTTGACCAGGGGCTGGATATGGTGCTTGACCAGAGGCTGGATATGGTGCCTGACCAGGGGCTGGATATGGAGCTTGACCACGTGATGGAGACTGATGATTTGGTTGGCCTATTATTACAAATATACAGGCTCATAAAAATACAGCATTGAACAATTATTTAACAGTAATATATATATATATATATATATATATATATATATATATATATATATATATATATATATATATATATATAAGAAAAGACTTATAACGAGCAAATTAAATAAAAAAGTTGATAGTCTCTAAACACAAAAAAACAACAATTATTAAAGTAAAAATTTTTTAATGACTCAAAACAGTGTTAAAAATAAACCAAACCAAAATAGATAGAATGAAAGCAAACACATAAGAGCTACCTGGGTATGAAGCTGAGCTATAGCCATATTGGGGATAAGGTGTATATCCGGGATAAGCAGGCTGTCCTGGTGCTACAGGATAGGGAAGACCAGGAGCTTGGGGATAGGGAAGACCTAATGCAGAGATGTATAGTACAAAGCTTGAGCTATTGGGTGGACCACAATGTATGACATAAATAGGTTTCATAAATAAGGCTGAACTAAATACTAAATGATAAAGCACTGTTATAAGAGTGATGCTAAATCTACTGATTTTGTATGTGTTATGATAAGCATTTTTAAATATATTTGTAAATTTTTTTTTTATATCTAAATAAAATATTTTAAAAAATAACAGGCACTTCATAGCCTAGACAGTATAAAATATAAAAGCAAGACTAAAAGAAACTAAGCATATATATAATTTTTATCACAAAATATAATACTGCATGTGTAAGCAAAAAAAAAATGAATATAAAAAATGTAATAAATACTAGCACTGAGAAAACACAGTTGATTGATAGATTAACTTTTTTTTAAAGTTTAAATACCATTTTAGGCATTTTAGGCTACTGTTTATTTTTTATGAACTTACTGAAACGCTTCAAGAATACTCAATACACTTTAAATAGTGAATTTAAAAAAGTTCCATGGTAACAAACACTGTGTTTTCTCAGGCCTCTGGTATAATGGACAGGAGTGAGAAAATAATTATAAAGTTGTGGTATAATCCTACCTCCTCCTGGGGCACTAGGCTGGGGGTAAGGTGGTGCCGCCTGGCCTTGTGGGTAATGGGGGTGACCGTACTGTGACATTGCAGACCTTGTTTGTGTCTGTTGAAATTTAAACATTTAAGAAATTTATGCTTTAAAAACAAACTTTTAAAAAAAAAATTAGTAGGTATGTATTTTAAGCATTATTGAAACACAAATTAAGTGTATTGTTATTTTTTTAAGTAGCAACATTTTCTTATCATTATTTGAGCTAGAATAGTGTTCCCTGAATTCCCATAGGAATTGTTTCAATGCAGTGACCTCAATTTTAGCAAACTGGACTATGAAGATGTTTAAAACTTTCATTTTGTAACACACATAATAAACAAATGAGTCAGTACTATTACAATAAAGTCCTACTGATGAAAATGTTCATTTGAAATGTAATATACCTCATCAATTTTTTAAAGAAAAAAAAATCCACAGAATTCAGATAGTCAAGCATAAAAAAATTATTCAGCATAGGTTTGATAAGCTTAGCTGCTTAGTACTACACTAACCCTGAATATAAGGGGTGGTCCATAACAAATGACATCATTACACCTATTTGTGGCTATTCACAAAAAAAAACAACTTACATGATGCTGCTTCATGGTGAATTTGAAAACAATTAGATTTAGAATCTAACTAGAATCTAGATATCTAGATCTAGTTACTAATGTCACACCCCTAAGATGTCACTAATGTGAATGTGACAATGTGTTCTGACTAGACTTGATAACTTAATGACTACATCTAGGCCTACTGTGTATAAACATGATATAACTCAGTGACTCTGACTCTAGTCTAAAACTCTAAAAATAATGTTTGATTTCTCAATACTTATCAATGAAATTCTATTTTTAGCTAGATCTAGATCTAGGACTAGATCTAACTAGATTCTAAATAAGTAAATAGACTTCTATTTTTAGATCTACCACCGTGCCCTACCTATTTTAAACAGCAGCAATCTCTTGTGCGTCACTGCCTTATTTATTGTTAAAAAATAAAATACTAAACACTAGATTTTCTAGACTAGATCTAAATCTAGACTAGAACTAGATCTAGATTCTAAATCTAAATACCTAGATCTGGGCCCCTGCAGAAGCCTGGACTAGAGAGCTAGAATCTAGACTTTACTCCACTTTACTGTGATAATGAAATGATTGGTTGATATTTGATAATTAACTTGATAGTTGATGATAGAATTAAGAATGAAGATGATAGATCTAGAATCTAGATCTCTAGATCACTAGATTCTAGAATCTAGATCTAGATCTAGATCTTAGATTTTAGATCTAGATCTAGAATCTAGATCTAGAATCTAGATCTAGTTAGTATGATTAGAATCACAAGATCGAGACTAGAGAAGAATCTCATTCTCTAGTGTTAGCCTAATTAAATAGTAATTACCTGGTAGCGTGTTTACTGTTTACTAACGTACTGCAAGTCCTAATAATAATAATGTTGATCTTAAAAAAATCCCATTGAAACCGGAATAAAAATTAATGTCAATACAATGAACACAGCATATGGGAAATAACCAACTTCAAACAAATGTTTCTAGAATCTAGATCTCTAGATTTAGATTTCTAAATGCGGAAGTTAACAAAAATTTCCAAGAAACTGGACGAAAGTATCATACCGATTTTAAAATTTTTAGATAGATCTAGATCTAGATCTATTAGATCTAGAGCACTAGATTTCTAGATCTATATCTAGTCTAGATCAAACTAGATCTGGAATCTAGCTTTAGACTTTAGAAGTTTCCTTTTTTTTTTTTTTTTTTTTTTTTTTTTTTTTGCAGTGTGTGTTAAATTCTTTATTATAAAGAATTGGTTGATATCTTTTACAGAAGACATCTCCGTCACACGTCGTCACAAAAAGCCAGACCCCCCCCCCCCCCCTAAAATGAGGTCACACCTCAACCTACAACCTCCCTCAAAATTGCAGTTGAATTTTTTTTAAAACATCGATATTTTTCTAAAATCTTGTCTAAACTATTACAATTTATTAAAACAGTTATCTAAAACGCGAAATAACGTCTAAAATTCGTTTTCTAACATTGCTTTTTTATAATGCAAAAGTGTGACGTCGCAACATCTGAGCCGCCCCCCCCCCCTCCCCATCATCACACATCGTCACAAAATTACGGACCCCCTCTCCCCCTACGAGTGTGACGTCATTTATTGATGACCTCAAAATAAAAATTCATAAAAACGTTTTAATAACAAGTTTTTATGTAATAATGCACTAAAAAGCAGAAAATAAATTATAGACTACTATTTAAATAACTATAAAGAAAAGCGTGGGTATCTTCCTAAATATTAGTAATGGTATCCAATAGATACTAAAGTGACCCACGCTTTTCTTTATAGTTATTTAAATAGTAGTCTATAATTTATTTTCTCCTTTTTGTGCATTATTACATAAAAGCTTGTTATTAAAACGTTTTTTTTAATTATTAGTTTTATTTTAAAATATAACACACCTTGGTTTTATTTAAAAACATGTATTCACAGTTCATTATTTATTAAAATTATTTTTTTATCCGAAGATTGGCTATTAGAGAGGCTATTCACATACTGAGATAAGTGTATACTATTAATTACTTAGGCCTTAGGAGGACTATATTTGAAGATTTTGTTTATGTTAATTAATATTTAATTTTAATAGACACCAGGGCTTTTAGGGCATTGAATAAAGACACAGTTGTTATAAACAATGTACCCGAGAAATGCACTGTTTTATATAAATTACCTATATTATAACCACTATTATAGAAAGAACTTCGATTAATGCATTCATGAGGTTTCATGTCTTATTACACATTTTACTTCAGATTATAGTTTTTGTTGTTATTGTATAATTTGTAAAGTGATCCAAGCCATAGTAGGGCTTAGTAGGCCCTAGCTGATCTCAGGTTTTGATGGATAAGAAATGCACAGTGATAAATTTAAGTCAGGATTTTTTGTTTCCCGTACCCCTTCCACTCCAGCCTAAACCTAAAGCCATAGGTCAATAGGTCAAGCTTTCGAGCCCGTTAGGTCTAGGCCTACCGTTATAGTGCTACATTAGCCTACATGCGCAGGGGAAATCAATAGGAATAATTACTTGATGTCTATTCTAGTCAAGTAATCCAATTTCCAGTAGATCTATCTATATAATAGGCCCATTGCCATCCGTAACGATTAAAATCATTTAAAATTTTACGGAACTAGATATTAGAGTGTCTACTGTACACAGAAAGATATTTGGTCTTGTTTGCACACGACGTCCCTTATATATAGAAATAATCCGGGTCGGGCTTAACCGGGGGAAAAAACCGTATTCATTTGGTTCTTTTAGGAATGTAAGAAGAATATTACATTTGTCTAACTTAAACCACAGCATTAAACTTTGTCAATAAGACGTGGCTACCTAGGCTGAGGTAGGACTATTATTTTGTATGTAAATTATATTTCGTACGGGGAAAATGAGGGGGGGGGGGGGGATAGACGCACTTCAGCCCCCCCCCCCCCCCCTCCCTCAAGAGATGCCTAAAAGAAACTCTGTAACAAACTTAATCAGTTTAGTCATGCTAAATCCAAAAATTACATTTAAAAGAAAATAAAAGAAAAAAAAACAAAAAAAAAACAACAACAATATAATAGATTAATACAAATAAATAAATAGTATAGAAACACGCATACACAAACGCACACTAAAAATGCAACCGGCATGACAAGTTAACAATGATTTAATCACCTGTGTTAAGTTCCTGTTGCAGATAGTCTATGTATGAAAGGTAAATAGTCGATCTATACAGTAGCTTACACAGGTATGTTTTCTTTCCCCGTAAGGTGAGCTGTGTACACCGACTATATCCGACTCCAGTGACGTCACAATGTAAAAACAGACGGTGACAGACCTGTCGTAGACACAAGATTTAATACCACGTCAACATACTTTATGACGATACATGGAGGTTCAATAGCGTTTTATTTCTGTACACATTCACACTTCCACTTTACACAGTGTGTGTCTAACTTCAGCCAAGCTACACACTTTAATGTTTACTCATTAACTCTGCGGGCTGGTTTCCTGAAATAATGAAAGGTCGGCTAATTATGTTAACTGTCTGATCTGGCGATGGAAAGATCGAGATAATAACTTTTTCTTTTTAATCTTAAGATTTAAAAGAAAAAGTTAGTTTCAACCAAATTTAACATTAATTTAATGTAGAGTTTGGTGAGATAACGGGTCATAACTGCTTGTATAACCCCAGCTATTAAGTAGAGTAGGGCCACAACCACAACTCGCACATGGTGAGTAATGAAAGTAGGACTAAAACCACAGAGTTGAACCACAACCATAGAGTAGAACCACAACTAAAGGGTAGAACCACAACAACAGAGTAGGACCACAACAACAGAGTAGGACCACAACTAAAGGGTAGAACCACAACAACAGAGTAGGACCACAACAACAGAGTAGGACCACAACTAAAGGGTAGAACCACAACAACAGAGTAGGACCACAACAACAGAGTAGAACCACAACCACAGAGTAGAACCACAACCAGAGAGTAGAACCACAACCACAGGGTAGACCCACAACCACAGGGTAGAACCACAACTACAGAGTAGAACCACAACCACAGTAGAACCACAACCACAGGGTAGAACCACAACCACAGAGTAGAACCACAACCTTAGAGTAAGACAACCGCCAAATAGGACCACAACCACTACTTAGAACAACAACAGAGTACGACCATAAAAATCCTATAGCCACAATCACAGAAAACTCCCACTTTATATTCTCTATATGCTCCAAGTTTGGAGTTTTGATTTTTTAATTGCTTTCCAACTGACGTCATCTAAGCTGTTGTGTAGCGAACGGTGCATGTGTAATCTCATTAACGTTGATTGTGTGAATGCTTGCCTGACTTTAGTATCTGGGTATGTCTGAATCACCTCCTTTGTTTACTTCCTGGTTGCAAGTAAAGTTTGTCTTCAATTATTTGAGTACAAGTGGGTTCAGATCTAATCCTTATCTGTCGTGCTCACATGTAGAGTGACGTAACTGTTGCTGTTCTGCCCACATGTAGGATGACGTAATTGTTGCTGTACTGCCCACATGTATGATGACGTAATTGTTGCTGTACTGCCCACATGTATGATGACGTAAATGTGACAATTGTTGCTGTTAGGCCCACATGTAGGATGACGTAGATGGGACGATTGTTGCAGTTAGGCCCACACGTAGGATGAGGTAGATGAAACAATTGAGTTGTTACATTAAATTATTGCCTTTGTTGATATCTGACACATTGTATATGCCATTGGTCCATGCGAATGACCATGTCATTTGTGTGTCTATGACATTGCCCTTTGTCCGTCAATGACAGCGTTATTTGTTTGGCAATGACTTCACCATTTGACGATGTCAATGATAGCGTCAGCATCAATGACTAAGTTTTGGTACTGTGAGTGTCCCTCATCGTGTGATACCTTGTTAAATAAGACAGCTGACACAACACTCAACTAAAAAAATAAACAAATGTGATATATTCAGCGTATTTAGTCTACATAATATACATAGAATATTCTACGAAGCCTTTAAACTGTTGTGTGGGAGAGGGTGTGTTTTATCTCGGGATCCTTTGGGTTCTTGAAAAATTATAATTTGTTTAATTACTCGTCTAGTGAAGATAAACATTTGTATCAGGCTAAACACACATATAACATTGGGTATAAACCACTTGGACAAAGTACATTGTTGAAGTTACGGGAATTCAGCTTTTTATTTAAAAATATTTTACAAAGTTAGCAAGTGTTTGGATACACACACACATACAAACAACAGGTATTGGCAGCTTCTAAAGGGAGAGAACGCAGTTTGAAAAATATAATCAGAAAAGCGTAGTTTGTCTCCCTTTCATCATCTAGTTCTGCGTGTTATTGTTCTATACTTCTAGTAGTGACTACAAATATCGGCCCTAAATCCTAATACATACTTTTAAAATTTAGAATTGCGAGTGTTGTGTTTGTGTAACTAGAAAACAAAAAAAGACATTTAAACATTTTTAAACTCAAGATTTCATTAATTTTCAAAAACATTTTTTTATTTCCAAAGTTTCCAGTGAATCTATCATTGATAACATCTTACCAGCACCCTGTCTTTTCAAAAAACCCTTTGTCTTTATTTATGTCGCCCAAAGCTACTCTTTGCAAAATACGCCTCCCTCCCTTGTCCCCCATTACATCCATAAAATATACCATGCGCCCGACTTGTATTTATTATTTAAACATCGGTCGCTTTCAGCTGTTTGAAACTTTTAAACAGGCTTGAATTGAGACTCGATTTTTTGTAAAATAAATAAATTTACAACCCCTCCCCCTTTATTCAATATTTACTTAAGGTTACTGAAAGGACTTTTACTACTGCGTTGGATTAAAAACAAATGCAGACACAAACGAGGAAGCACACATAAAAAAAAAATACAAATCGGTGACAGTAGCTTCCCTTTAGTTTGCAGTGAGGGGGCGCTCTATTATGGAGTTTTATTCTATTCGCGCAACACCCAAAGCTTCTGATTAAGCCGTGTCAACGTTAATGAAAGATGAATGGCCCAGGGGGCGCCGGATCGATGGGGACCTTCCAACCCGTTATAATTCCATTTCTAACTCCCCTCACCCGATATGCGAAGCCCCGAAAACACAGGCCGAAACTGTAGAGGACAGGAGGGTTAGGACGGGGACAGGGGAATAAAAAAAAATGTCACCTCTCCACAAAAAACCAGCCTCCAACCTCCAAGACCACCCCTCCAAATCACGTGACCTCACCCCCCATGCAATGGTATGTCCCCACCCAGTCTTCTAGGGAGGGAGTGGGGAAAAAAGGTTTAATTAAATTGGGCTAAATTGCTAGCGCAGGAATGAAATGTCTCCGAGAAAATAAAAGGGTGGAGATGCGGTGCATGTACATTGAGGAATTATTAACACTGACGGCCACCGAGAAGAAAAAAAAATGGAACTTTTTTTTAACCCCATTTTTTTTTTATTTTTTATTTTTTCCCTCTAAAAGTTGTATCTAAGTGTGCAATATTGTTTTTAGTTTTAGAAGACACTAAATTATGTCCCCTGAAATATCGAATTTAAACTGTCAACCTAATGTATTTTTGGGGGTAAGGAATAGATGGAGGTGGGGGGTGGGGGTGGGGGTGGGTGCAGCAGAGACTAGATGGATTAGGAGGTAGGGAGGGGAGGGTACTCATGGTGTTAAAAAAATCCATAAGTGCAGCACGGGTCTTGCACGTGCCCCCGTGCAGTTTTTTATGTTTGTGTCTGGGGGTATGGGGAAAATTTTGGCCGGTTCCCGCCGGTTTGCGCTGCAGAAAGGTCAATTTTTAAATTTAAATTTACATTACAGAAAGGTCAATATTTACTTAAACTTTAATTTACAGAAAGGCCAATCATTAAATTTAAATTTTATATTAAAGAAAGGTCAATTTTTAAAATTAAATTTTATATTACGGTCAATATTTACTTAAACTTTATATTTAAAAGAGAGGTCAATCTTTAAATTTAAACTTCACACCACAGAAAGGTTACTTTATTTTACTCAAACGTAACATAATTTTAATATGCATTTTGCGATACAGATAGTTATTGGTGGAGTGTGAAGTCTTTATTAACAACTGTCGGTCCGATATTTCTTTTCATCATTTCTAAACTACAGTATTAGAGACTTAGTGATTGTTGGGGAGAGTTGTGGAATGTTTGGGAGATTTGGGGAATGTTGGGGAGATTTGGGGAATGTTGGAGAGAATTGTGGAATGTTGTGGAAAATTGGGGAATGTTGGGGAGAGTTGGGGAATGTTGGGGATAGTTGGGGAATGTTGGGGAGAGTTGGGGAATGTTGGGGAGAGTTGGGGAATGTTGTTGTAAATAAATTAAAATCTTTCAAAGCTATCAAATGTCTAGTGTACAGTTTTATCTGAGGTTTGACAAGAAATTCAGTTGCACTACTAAAAACATAAAAACATTGTGTAGACAACGGGCAGGGGCGTAGCGAGGGGGGTGCGGGGGTGCGGACCGCACCGGGTGACACCATTTAGGGGGGTGACACTAAGGCAAAAAATAGCAAAATATATAGAGAAAAACTTGAGGGGGGGGGTGCAAATCGAAAGTTTGAGGGGGGGGGGGGTGCAAATCGAAAATTTGAAAGTTTGTCCCCCGGAAGGGTCGCTACGCCTCTGGGGGGTGACACCATTAAGTGCCGCACCGGGTGACACCCGACCTCGCTACGCCACTGACAACGGGCATTAAGTGGAAATCAAATGCAAGCGACCACATACAATTTTATAACAGTTTGCCTAAACATAACTATTGCTGATGAAATTATCACAAGTATGTTTGTAATAGGACCATTATTTATACAAGTTTGACTTAAGCCGGTTTTACGTACTCGTTTATGTAATGGTACTAAAAAATTTTTTAAAATCTTTTTAAAACATATGGTAAGCGATAAAATCATAGCTACATTTTAAAAAATAAAACCCGTTTGTATTGAAGATAATCCGTTGAAATTAATTTAAAAATTATTTTATTAATTCAAATATTTCAAAACACCGCCCTCAACCCCTCCTTGGAGTCCACTGGAATGGCCAGGGAAAGTAAAACAATGAAAGTCACAACAATTGTTTTTCATGATAAAATACACAATAGCGGTCGATGGGCCATAGCCTAGTAGTTTATTTATATTAAACTAGTCGTCCCGGCCAGGCCCTGCTCTGGCTTCTGTGAAAAACCTTTCTGTTAAAGACCATTACCTGTGTTTAGTAATCATCATAAACCCGGCATTGCCCACCCAAACCACAACCAACCAAAACAACAAAACGCAAACATAACGCTAACACAATTACAAATACAAACGAAAACGAAAATCTAACAACAAACCCAACCACAATCACAAACACCAATACAAACACAAAGAAAAAACAAACAAAAAAGCAAACGACAACAAAAACCTAACAACAAACCCAACCACAACCACAAACACCAATACGAACACAAAGAAAAAAACAAACGAAAAAGCAAACGAAAACAAACCAAATCCAAACGCAAAACCAACCACAAACACAAATACAAACACAAACCCAAAGAAAAAACACAAACGAAAACAAAAAAAAGAAAGAACAAAAACTAATCAAATCAAAACGCAACCACTAACGCAAACCCAACCTAAACACAAAGAAAACACTAACGCGAACATAAACGCAAAGTGCTCACAGTCTAGCCCGGGGCAGAATCGCCTGTTTCAGCTTAATAATGGACTATAGTACCCCAACTTATTCAGAGTCTTTTGCACTCACTTAAACGAACGTAGGTGCCAAACCAAACCAAATGAACAATTATAATACACCAAGCTTATTCGTAAAATACCTACAACATTTGCACTTGATCAATCCCCGCTAATTATGTAATTATTTTTTTTCCAACACCAAAACAAAGTAATAAAAAGTAAATTATTTTCCACTAATGCAATGTTTTATAAAGGGAAGTAATTGTGTTTTCCTAATTTATCAAAGGGAAGTAAGTGCTAATGGACTAAATATAAATAATTTTCAGACTTAATTAGAATTTTTGTTATTTTTTAAAAATTATGTTTAATGAACATGCCGACAATTATTACTATCAGTTTGAAAAATGAAAATTATTTCCCAACACTTTCAAGAGTAATTTTTTAACTCATAAATTAGACTATGAGCACGATAATAGTCTAACACTTAAATCCATCGAAGTATGTCAACGACAAACTTATTTTTACATACAGAATTGAGCTTTATATATTAGATAATACAACATACCCTATCGCCACAACACCCTGACTCTACTAATCCAATTTAAAAATAAAAGTGTTTGCTAAATTACTAACATATTACTAATAATTATTTATTTGAATATTTCTAGACTTAATAAAACCGGAAGCCATTTTGTACTTATTTGTCAAATGTTATAAAATATTCAATTGTGGATGAAAAATATGCTATCTCATCTGGCAACAACTATTTGGAACCATTTGGAACCAGCTTTTCAAGCCTCATAGGAATCAAAGTCAAGAACGAAGAGTAATAATTGACTGATGGCATTAATCATTTTTTGATTGTATTTCTCATAATCTGTCAATTTAAAATTGAACTCATCTTTATTACGATATATCACTTACCAATGTAATAATAATAAAATAAAATGGTTCTTATCCTTAAGAATGCAGTGTCTTAGTTTTTAAAAAAAATAAAAGCTAAACGACTGTAGTTGGTTTACAAGTTTGATGTCTAAAAAATACTAAAACAACCCAAATAATATTTTACAAAAAATAAAAAAAAATCTTTTTAGGGGGGTACAAACTTGATAATTTCCAGTAAATAACATATTAATATGATTTTTTTTCCCGGGAAAAATGCCTAATCGGACAATTGAATTTAGGCAATCGTCCCATTCGGGGCAATCGACTCTTCTGGAAAATGGCCTCTGGGCAAACCATCTCCGGTCTTTCGCCCATTCATCTTAGACCCCTATTTAAAAAACTCTTCCTTTAGATAGTTTCCCCATACTTGATAAATGTTTCTCTGGTAACTAAACAGGAAAGGAGTATACATTCACAAATAACTGCTCAGGCGATTACATTTCTTCGTGAATAATTCCTAGCCTGACGCCACAATTTTTGTGAATTATCTTTTTGATGACAGAATTGTTCCGCGATAACCGCTCCATCTACTCATTATATCCACCCCACCCACCGCTCCCACCCCCCGTGTTTATCCATTTTCTCCGTAATTATCCCCCGTAACCGCTCGGATTAATTCTCTCCCCTGGCGTCCAGAAAACAATCAGACACCAATCACTTGGGTTATACGGGGTTAACATATCATTAATACAGCGGGTCCCACATTTTTTTAATACAGCGGATCCCACATTTTTTAATACAGCGGATCCCACATTTTTTTATACAGCGGATCCTACATTTTTTTAAATACAGCGGCTCTCAAAGTTTTTTTTTAATACATCAGCTCTCAATGTCTTTTTTTTTTAATACAGTGGCTCTCAAAGTTGTTGTTTTTTTTAATACAGCGGCTCTCAAAGTTTTTCTTTAATAGTTCGGCTCTCAATTTTTTTACTTTCTCGTATATACGAAGTATAGAGAAAGTCTTGTAATCGTGCAAAAAAAAAAAATCGAGATTTTTACAAATCTCGATGTTTTACACCTCACTGATACGGAGAAACATAATTTTGCAATCTTGTCCGTATGTCTGTGTGTCTGTCTGTGTGTCTGTCTGTCTGTGTGTCCGTGTGTAAACACGATAACTTGAGTAACGTTACAGCTAGGTTGATGAAATTTCATATATAAGTATTTTATCAAAATCGTAGATCCGTATAAACTTTTGAGCGATTTCCGATAACCGGAAGTGGTACTTTTCCTACTTTGAATTTTTCAAAAGCCTATAACTTGAGTACTATTTCAGATACATAAATGAAATTTCACATGTAAGTAAAAGATCTAATTCTCTACCTTCTGTTAAATTTTGAGTAATTTCCGTTGACTGGAAGTAGTAATTTTACGCTACTTCAGATTTCTAAAAAAACTAATGTAAATTTTAAAAGTACTAATAATATTGCGCACTATTATGCGCTTTTTTATTTGGCGTTCACTTGGTGTGCAATTAATTTGTCTACGAGATTTTATTCTATTTTTAAAAGTTTAAGTATTTAAAATGGATTAAAAATCATGTCTATAGCCCGAGTTCCCATCCCCTGTTATTTTATATAAGAGTATTCGAGAAAGTTTAGGGGAGATCACTCCCGGTTTATTTTTCATACTATCTAAACACCACAATATAGCCCATATGCTCTCTACCTAAACACCAACACGTTATAACCACTAACTTAACACCAATACAAACATATCTCGCGAGATTTGAGTTTGAGACAAGCAGCGACTACTACAGCTTTCGTCACGTGACCAAGTTGTTTTGATTTAACAGGAAGTAGTGTTGGGGAGTGGACACTTGGTTAAAACAAACGTCACTGAGACCGAAACTTTGACTTGGAGACATTCATTCAAGCCACCATCCACTCAGCACCACAAGCCACCATCCACCCACCATCCACCTAGCACCACAAGCCACCATCAACCTAGCACAACAAGCCACCATCCACCTAGCACCATAAGCCACCATCCACTCAGTACCACAAGCCACCATCCACCTAGCACCACAAGCCACCATCCACCCACCACCTAGCACCACAAGCCACCATCCACCCACCACCTAGCACCACAAGCCACCATCCACCCAGTACCACAAGCCACCATCCACCTAGCACCACAAGCCATCATCCACCCTGTACCACAAGCCACCATCCACCCAGCACCCAGCACCACAAGCTACCATCCACCTAGCACAACAAGCCACCATCCACCCAGTACCACAAGCCACCATCCACCTAGCACCACAAGCCATCATCCACCCAGTACCACAAGCTACCATCCACCTAGCACAACAAGCCATCATCCACCCAGTACCACAAGCTACCATCCACCCAGCACCACAAGCTACCATCCACCTAGCACAACAAGCCACCATCCACCCAGTACCACAAGCCACCATCCACCCAGTACCACAAGCCACCATCCACCTAGCACCACAAGCCATCATCCACCCAGTACCACAAGCTACCATCCACCCACCACCAAGCACCACAAGCCACCATCCACCTAGCACCACAAGCCACCATCCACTCAGTACCACAAGCCACCATCCACCTAGCACCACAAGCCACCATCCACCTAGCACCACAAGCCACCATCCACTCAGTACCACAAGCCACCATCCACCTAGTACCACAAGCCACCATCCACTCAGTACCACAAGCCACCATCCACTCAGTACCACAAGCCACCATCCACCTAGCACCACAAGCCACCATCCACCTAGCACCACAAGCCACCATCCACTCAGTACCACAAGCCACCATCCACCTAGCACCACAAGCCACCATCCACCTAGCACCACAAGCCACCATCCACTCAGTACCACAAGCCACCATCCACCTAGCACCACAAGCCACCATCCACTCAGTACCACAAGCCACCATCCACCTAGCACCACAAGCCACCATCCACTCAGTACCACAAGCCACCATCCACCTAGCACCACAAGCCATCATCCACCCAGTACCACAAGCTACCATCCACCCACCACCAAGCACCACAAGCTACCATCCACCTAGCACCACAAGCCACCATCCACCTAGCACCACAAGCCACCATCCACTCAGTACCACAAGCCACCATCCACTCAGTACCACAAGCCACCATCCACCTAGCACCACAAGCCACCATCCACCTAGTACCACAAGCCACCATCCACCTAGCACCATAAGCCACCATCCACTCAGTACCACAAGCCACCATCCACCCAGTACCACAAGCTACCATCCACCCACCACCCAGCACCACAAGCCACCATCCACCCAGTACCACAAGCTACCATCCACCCACCACCCAGCACCACAAGCCACCATCCACCTAGCACCACAAGCTACCATCCACCCACCACCCAGCACCACAAGCCACCATCCACCCAGTACCACAAGCTACCATCCACCCAGCACCCAGCACCACAAGCCACCATCCACCTAGCACCACAAGCCACCATCCACCCAGTACCACAAGCTACCATCCACCCACCACCAAGCACCACAAGCCACCATCCACCCAGTACCACAAGCTACCATCCACCCACCACCAAGCACCACAAGCTACCATCCACCCACCACCCAGCACCCCAAGCCACCATCCACCTAGCACAACAAGCCACCATCCACCTAGCACCATAAGCCACCATCCACTCAGTACCACAAGCCACCATCCACCCAGTACCACAAGCCACCATCCACCTAGCACCATAAGCCACCATCCACTCAGTACCACAAGCCACCATCCACCCAGTACCACAAGCTACCATCCACCCACCACCAAGCACCACAAGCTACCATCCACCTAGCACCACAAGCCACCATCCACCCAGTACCACAAGCTACCATCCACCCACCACCAAGCACCACAAGCTACCATCCACCTAGCACCACAAGCCACCATCCACCTAGCACCACAAGCCACCATCCACTCAGTACCACAAGCCACCATCCACTCAGTACCACAAGCCACCATCCACCTAGCACCACAAGCCACCATCCACCTAGCACCACAAGCCACCATCCACTCAGTACCACAAGCCACCATCCACTCAGTACCACAAGCCACCATCCACCTAGCACCACAAGCCACCATCCACTCAGTACCACAAGCCACCATCCACCTAGCACCACAAGCCACCATCCACCTAGCACCACAAGCCACCATCCACTCAGTACCACAAGCCACCATCCACTCAGCACCACAAGCCACCATCCACCTAGCACCACAAGCCACCATCCACTCAGTACCACAAGCCACCATCCACCTAGCACCACAAGCCACCATCCACCTAGCACCACAAGCCACCATCCACTCAGTACCACAAGCCACCATCCACCTAGCACCACAAGCCACCATCCACTCAGTACCACAAGCCACCATCCACCTAGCACCACAAGCCACCATCCACCTAGCACCACAAGCCACCATCCACTCAGTACCACAAGCCACCATCCACCTAGCACCACAAGCCACCATCCACCTAGCACCACAAGCCACCATCCACCTAGCACCACAAGCTGCCAATATAAGCCCCCACAATATGTCAATACAAGCCCCCACAATATGTCAATACAAGCCCCCACAATATGTCAATACAAGCCCCCACAGCATGTCGATACAAGCCCCCACAACATGCCAATACAAGCCCCCACAACATGTCAATACAAGCCCCCACAACATGTCAATACAAGCCCCACAGCATGTCAATACAAGCCCCCACAACATGTCAATACAAGCCCCCACAACATGCCAATACAAGCCCCCACAAGCCCACAAGTCAACTGTGGATAAACGCTCCGCCCTCTTTTAATCTCGGCTTAGGCCTAATTGAAAGCTTTTAGCCGAGGTTGGTACCGCACAGTAGCAGACGTGGGACCAGCTGACGAGCGAGCTGTGTAGCACGTGACCTATTCCACTCGCTGAGCACCCGAGTCAAAGGTCACTCATGTTTGTTATCTCCCCGCGACCAAGAGCTACCAACCAAGGGAAGTAACTGATCAACACGCAAGGTTATCCACCCAACAATTTAATACAACATAATAAAAACAAGCAGTGGGCTCATACGCGTGAGACAAAAAAAAAATCCCCACCGCAAACCAACGCGCAAAAATCCTACACCATCGCTACACAAAAATCCTACACCATCGCTACACAAAAATCCTACACCATAAAACACACACGGGTCAGAAGACAGAAACTAAAGGCAAGCCATGGAAACTCTACTTTCTACTCATCAAGCAACGTGTAATCAAGCAGAAGACCAATCACTGGCTTCCAAGTTAGTGCTCCGCGAGATTGCGTTTTTTAATTTCATTTGGACCCCCGTCATTTTTATCAATTTCCACACAAATCCAAGGGGACCCGTGCGTTATTATTTCCCTTAACGTTATTACAATTTTTTTTTACCTCCCTTCGTTCAGTTTTTAAAAAGTCTACCAACTTGGGGATGTAATACAAGTAGCTGAGTTGAAATTTTAACCCCCCAACACCCAGCCTTGAGTTGAAACTTTAACCCCCCCCCCCAACACCTAGCCTTGAGTTAAAACTTTAACCCCCCCCCTCCCCCAACACCCAGCCTTGAGTTGAAACTTTAACCCCCCAACACCCAGCCTTGAAACTTTAACCCCCACCCCCAACACCCAACCTTGAGTTGAAACTTAACCCCCCCCCCCCCCCCCAACACGTAGCCTTTAGTTGAAACTTAAACCCCGTTCCCTCAAAATCAAGTCTGAAGTTAACACTTCAACCCACATTAAGTTTAAAATTAACCCTTTAAAACCCACCATCTAGTTAAAAATTTAACCCCTTTAGACCCGGCCTCGAGTTTAAACATCAAGTTCATTAACCCATTTAACTATTCAGAGTTTTACTGTACCAGAAGATTTGTTCTGAGCATGTAAAATAAAATTCAAATATTACATTACAATAGTGTAACAGTGACCCTAAGTGAATTAAATGTTTACAAATACGATTGAGTGAATATAAATATTACTAATTGTTAATTACATGAATGTTGATTTATAATGTTTGTCACCAAATTAATTTATACTTAAGTAGATAACCAATACATATGTGTACTTGTGTGCATCGGTGTGTAAGTGTGTATGTTTGAGTGTGTGTGTGTGTGTGTGTGTAGGAGTTTGTCTTTATGTGTGAATGTTTGTTTATGTCTGTGGGTGTGTGTCTGCGTCTGTGTTTGTGTGTGTTTATGAATATGTGTGTGTGATAGTATGTGTATGTGATTGTGTGTCTGTGAGTGTGCGTGTGTGTCTGTCGGTGTCTGTGAGTGTGTGTGTGCCGGTGTTTGTGTGTGTTTCTATCTGTGCCCATGACGGCGGGTCAGCTGTACCAGAGACAATCGAAGAAATGGAACTCGAGCCCCTGGGGTGACAGGTCGAGCGTGGAGACGTAATGCCACTCGACACCACCCACCCCACCCCTACTCTTTAGTACGGCCAACACACTCCCAGAAATGGTTAATGGATTTTTTTTTGTTTTTAAATCCCATTTTTACTAATCGTGCAATTTTTAATTATTTCCCACTTTGTCGAGGTAAGATGTATTTTTTAAACTCTGCCTAGTTAGCTTACACTTGCAGACAACTAACGAGGTAAAACTAGGATTTACGTGGGGCATTGAATATTTAGGATCTTCTTTAAACACCACGTACTGCTGGGCTGGTTGCAAAATAGAAATTGTCGCTGTTTGCAAAATATTTCCCTGATTTTGTAAAAAAAAAAAACAAAAAAAAACAAAAAAAAAAAAAAAAAAAAAAAAAAAAAAAACCAAAGATGACAGGATGTACACAATCTGGTGGTGTACACAATCTGGCAGTGTACACAATCTGGCAGTGTGCACAATCTGGCAGTGTACACAATCTGGCAGTGTACACAATCTGGTGGTGTACACAATCTGGCAGTGTACACAATATGGCAGTGTACGCAATCTGGCAGTGTACACAATATGGCAGTGTACACAATCTGGCAGTGTACACAATCTGGCAGTGTACACAATCTGGCAGTGTACACAATCTGGCAGTGTACACAATATGGCAGTGTACACAATGACACTATTGGCTTTATGACGCTGTTGGTAAACATGATGAAAACATGATTGTAAACTAAAAACCTAATAAAAGTTGTTTTATAAACAAACTACAATAAAACACACGTAGATATAATTAGATCGTTGGGTAATCGATTGGGATTTATAAAACACACCAATACATGGTAGACAGGGGTTGACCCCCAGGGGTTGACCCACAGGAAAAAAAATCTCAGTGGTCCGCCGAAAAAAATCTATGTGTGTCCTCATGAAAAAAATATCGGTGTGTCCTCATGAAAAAAATATCGGTGTGTCCTCATGAAAAAAATTTCGGTGTGTCCTCATGAAAAAAATTTCGGTGTGTCCTCATGAAAAAAATTTCGGTGTGTCCTCATGAAAAAAATTTCGGTGTGTCCTCATGAAAAAAATTTCGGTGCGTCCTCATGAAAAAAATTTCGGTGTGTCCTCATGAAAATCTCGGTGGGCCCTGGAAAATGTGCTGTAACAGTCTTATTAATGTTTTAATATTTTACTAACATAATGTGTTTGTACATCTCACCTTTACTATTTCCCTTCCTTCATATCAAGGCGTAAAATGGAGACTGTGACAGAGAATATAAAATTCGCAATAAAAAATTCCCATCCGGCTCTGAGGATCCCTTTAAAAAAAATTCCCGGGTCCCTTAGACACAGTAGTCTACCTCCCCCCTCCCCCTATACTAAATGTAATCAGTGGTGATCAATAGGGTATCTAGATATAAAATCGATGCCATCAATTATGACCTAATTGAATACTAAATTATCAGTTTCGCTAGAGCTTAATAGAGATGAGAAAAATATGAACAGATTTTTTAAAAAGAGAAACCTACGAATCTCTATTCACATGTAAACGAGTAAAGCGAAGATAAAAAAAAAAAAATTCGGAGCGGGTAAAATCCCCTTTACCTCCCCCTTCAGTGCCCTAGTTTTTGACCCAGTGAGCAATTAATAAAACTTAATCAGAGAGACGGGCTACGGGCCGACTTAGCGCCGAATTAAGTTATGCGACTTCGTATGAAAGCGATGCTTAAAAACGTCTAGCTTGTCGATACCGCCAATTTTCATTATTAGTTTCGTTACTAAGGAGGTCTACAGATTGGAGTTTTTTATTTGTATTTATTATTTTCGTGTGTTGTATTTTTTTTTTTTACCTCCCTGTTTACTATGTTTTTGATTATGTCCCTTAGACGCCCTGTCGTATCTAGTTCCCCATCTTCCGTCTGCCAATCCGAGTTTCGTTGTTTAGCTAAAATGTGTTGCGTGCTTGGCCGGAGCGGTTGGTTAAGCATCGCTTTTTACATAATGGTTCGTGGTTATTAAACAATTTTCCCCCTGTCTAATCGACGCCGGTTCGCATTTTTATTTTTCCAAGCTAAAAACGTGGTTTGGGGTTATTTTTGTTGCCTTATAATAACACATCCGCTTGAGGCTTAACACATGTTGAACAACGCAGGCACAAAAATAGATTTTTTTTTCTCCGCTTTGTAATAAAGCTGGGCTCTGACGTAGGCTGGGTCACGTGGTTAGAGAAATAACGAGACGTGACGTCACATCTGTCTGCTTGGTTAACTGATGTAGACGTAGGCTGACATCTGTAAGCCCTGGGTTCGACGACAACCGCAGACGACTACCCCGATTGCTGGTGAGTATGAAGTTGAACGAGAGAATCTAATCAAACCTAGAGCCCGATACAGTCGACTGCATTTAATATTTGGCGTTTAATTTAAATTTTCATATTATGAATATTTCGATTTTTTTTTAATTCTCAAAATTTCTTTGTAAGATACTCAAATATTCCTAAAACATCAATAACTTATTATTAGTTTACTATCTTCCAATTATTTAGCCCGTACGGTATTTAACTCATTACATTTTTCAAACCCCTGGTCGAGTGAAGTTTAATATTTTCACGGTTACACCCCTTTGACCAGTGCCGTTAAATCGCGTTTGCGATTTTACTTCATTTCGTACTGAGTCGTGAACGCGAGGCAACGACACCAGATAAGCAGCGCGCAAAGACAGCGAGTGACGAGGCATCGATTGTTATTTTTAAACTGCTTATGTTCGTCATTACATCAGGAATAATTATTTTAACGGATTAAAAACAAACTTCAAAGACTGGCAAAATCGGATCTGTGGCAGGTGTGAAAAACTTCGTTAACTTCTAATCCGAAAATCGATATTAACTTTGCTCGGCAGACAAAAATATGATATTATTATTTTAAATATCAAATTAAATTTTAAAAGGAATAATTTCACAAGCGCTGCATTTTAGTAGCTTAGAGGAAAAAAAAACGAAAAAAAAAAAATAAAAACTTGGGATATGGCCGAGAACTCTAGCATTTCAGCAAGTTATTTCCCCTGATTTCGATGACGTTTCTCTGTTTAATATCAAATATGAGATATTTATGCTTCAGGAGGAAAATGAATGATTTTTTCCGCCCAGCCCCAAAAAGTGAATTAGCTCGGGTCCTTGATGGATGGTGGTGCCTTCCTTTAACTGGTGTGAGGCGTTGACAGAGTGAGCTAGAGCGGCCATTCTTTCGCCATTGTACACACGGAGGATGGGCCGATGAAAGGGGAGGGGGGCTAGGTTAAACTAGGGCAAGTATTTTTTTTTCCCTTCCATCCTATCAATGTAGAACTAATTATTTCTTCGATTTCAGATTTCTTTTTTTTTTTTTGGATAGGGGTGTGTGGGAGGTGTAAATCGGGATTGCTTATTTT